GGGGGGGGGGGGGGAAATCATCAAAATCATTTTAACATCAGCAGGATCCCTCTCAAGAGAGAGCAACACAACGTTTCTGCAAAGAACCAGAACAAAACCACTTATCCCTTAAAACACTCCATCCTAGGGACAGGGCCACTGGATACCGATGTGGTGGGTTCAGCACTCCTTCCCCCAAAACCCAAGCCACCCCCACTCCCTGTCCCGCTACCTGTAACAAAAACAGTCTCTCACACAGACCACAAAGTTACAAGTCTAGCACAAAAATTGGTGACTTAACAATTTTACTGCGACGCATACAATACACCAAACGTCTTAGTGGAGAACTGTCTAAAGCTTCTTACTGTGCTAGCTATGACTCTAATAGAATTATTAATCAAATAATTTGGAGACCTAGATGTAACGTCTCTTAATTACGCAGCTTAAGGAAATTGTCTAATTCCCGAATTACTGCGTACCAGTGCCCAGCATAACAATAAAGAAAAAACAAGAGAGGAAGAAGCTGACCTTTTCATCTCAGATTAAAGAACAAGCAGGTCCTGCAGTCCAGCAGCCACAGCTAATAGCTGGAGCAGGAAAAAAGTACCTGTGGGGCGTTAAGAGGATTACTCACCAGCACAGAAACTAGCTAAGACACTGGAGCAGCTGATACAACCTCACAACACTTTCTGTTGTTTCATCTTGCAACAAGAGGACAAAACGAGCTAGTGGGTATTCACACTTTCTGGCGTGATGACTGGCAACCCCAAAGCTGTCCTACTCCACTGCTACAAGCGAGCCGATCTCTGCAAGTAAGGCAACAGGGTGAGCTGGCAGCCGGCAACCAGCAGCAGATGATGGAGCCCACCAGCACCTGCTGGAAGCTCAGGGCTGTCGAGGACAAGCTCCTTCAGCAAGGAGCTAGCTCATCCCAGTAAAGGAAACCTGCCCCGAGGAGCCCAGGTGCTGCAGGAGCAGCTCCCAGGCAGCCGAAGCTGAGCTGTAGGTGCTCCTGCTTGCCCCGCCACCAGCACCCCGGCACCCGAAACCCACCTGTCGCTCCTGACCTGAAGATGCTGCCGGCAGAAAGAGAGCTGTGCAGGACGGCAGACAGGGCTGCCAGGCTGCGACCGGGGCGTGCGCCCAGGACAGATGAATCACCGCTCCCCGCGGGCTTCGTCACTGCGCTCGCAACCTCCGCGGCAGAGAGGCGGCACCGCAGCCGGACCCGCCGGGCGCTCAGCCGCCCAGGGATGCGCCGTTTGGCTCCGTACTCTGGCATTATCCATCGCCCACCCCAGATGGGAGAAGACCAGCCGCCCAATGCGGCAGCATTTCTGTCCAGCTTTCTCTTCTGGGAGTCAAATGCTGCAGTGTTTGGGATGAGGCTGGACACCCAGTCCAGAGGTTTTTGCCCTGCTTGCCCTGTCCTCTCTCCTCTCACCCAGCGCAGGCCTCAGCTTTTGCAAAAAATTGATTCAAATGAGCAGTATCAGGCTGTACCTTTTACCACCTAAATAACACACTGGGCAGTATTTATCAGTGACGATTAAACAAAGTTCATATTTAAACCTGGCTCACGACAAATTCCACCTCACGAGAAGCTATGTTGGACACGACCTAAAAACCTACATGAACGCTGACATTAAATGAGTAAAGCCTCGAGTGTGGTCCGGCTTCCCGGCACGGGAAGGCACAGGAACAAGCAGGTCGGTATCGCTGTGAGCAGTGGCAATCCCCAAGTGTTGCCACACGCCTTCCCTGGGCAGACCTGGCTAGGGACAGCTCAGACCCGAGTCATCAGCGCTCCCAGGGACAGAGGCTTGATTCCCATTGGCAAGTCTTCCCTGAGAACAGGCGGAGCTGGGATCAGGCAGGCCTGTAGAGGGGGGATTACAGGGAACCGTTGCCAGGCAGATCCCAAGCAAAGCAGGCGTGCGGGAAGGAGGAGCTGCTGCAGCCGGGCACAGGGGCAGCTGGGGGGGCTCCCTTCCCTCTGCAAAGCGCCCTGGTAGATTCACTATACAGGAACATTAACTTTACAAAAGGCTTTGGAAGTTTAACCTTTGGAAGTTTAACCCTTCTGTGAGAGAAGTAATAAGAAAATAATTTAAAAAAAAAAGCCCATCGGATGACGCAGAGCCACCAGTGCAACCCATGTACCGCTGTGCGAGCCCTTCCGGGAAGGGAAGCCTTCTCCAGAAACAGAGGAGCCCTGACTCAGAGACTTCTTGGAAACGTGCAGAGACTCATTCAACCTTCTTCCTTAAGTGAGATGTTTGCTCAAAACCAGACGCAGAGTTTCTCTGACCAAAGGAGAAGGAAGAATCCCGTGGCACCGGCGCAGCAGGAGGGGCTGGGGCACCCCCATGTCATTGCAAGTTATCTGGTGAAGCATGAACTCGCCGAGCG